TGGGGCCATTGAATGAGCCGTGATTAACTCAGTTCCACGCTCTCCATTTTTGTCAAAAAAATCGCCTGCAATTGGTGACTTTCCTTTTTCTTTGCTTTCTTTCTTTAAAGAACACGTTTTCCTTCTTTTTTTTTCTTTTTTCAAAGCTAATGTGGGTCCCACCGATGTCGAGGGACCCAGCAACAAGTCTCCCCCTCCCGACGACATGGTGGGACTCTTCCATTCCTGCCCGCTTTGACACACAATCGGACTTCTCCTTTTGCGCAGTGTTGTTGACAGAGCAACACACTTTTCAGAGCAACACACTTCTGTAATCTTGACTGCCACGACATGGCTCCCCCTGCAAATGTGATCAGATATCCTGAAAATCCATTTCACTACAGTCCAATGTTCCTTTCTAGGATTTGAAAGAAACCGACTCACTACTCCAACTGAGCAATATCTGGCCGTGTACAAACCATGGCATACATCAAGCTTCCAACTGCTGAAGCGTATGGAACCTTTTCCTTTTCTTCCTTCTATTCATCCGTAGAAAGGCACTGTTTAGAACTCAATTTAAAGTGATTAGTAAGAGGACAACTAACCGCTTTAGCATTCTTCATTCTAAACCTTTGAAGTACTTTCTCAATGTATTTCTCCTGTGACAACCATAATTTCTTGGCTCTTCAATTTCTTATAATCTTCATGCCAAGAATTTGCTTTGTTGATCCCAAGTCTTTCATAGCAAAAGACTTACTTAGCTGTTTCTTCAAGCTAGACACAGGCAAATGCATTTTGATTACCATAAGGAGATCTCTCATTCTCCATAATATGGTATGTCCCGCCATTAGATTATCATTTTGCTGGTCCATTATGGACTTGCGCAGAAAATCATCACACCATAAACCTCAATTATGAACAGTGTATACGTGAATAGTGACATAATAGTAATTGTATGCATTGAATAAGGTAAACTGTATGCGTGAATTGAGTAAATTGTACACGTGAAAATACTATGCGGTGAATAGTACTGGGCATTACTTGAAACGGAATCAGCAACAGTAACTCCAATAGTACTGTTCACCATCAACTTGAGTTACTATTTTACTAATTTTACTATTCATCACTAAGTCGATTCTACACAACGCCAATGGACTTGTCCTAATTTTCTCTTCATCATGGTATATTTATTTTCAAAATATATCCACGGATCCGGTACCGCTATCTGATCGGCTAGACCTACTGAAACCTTCGGCTCTGATACCAGTTATTGGGCCTCAAGTACCACTTGTCTCAGCTCTGATACCACTTGTTGGGCCCTTTTAATAAAGTAAGAGAAAATTAATGCAACGGAAAAGTAAAATTGTGACACACAGAAATTTACGTGGTTCACCCTTAACTGTTTAGGGCTACGTACACGGGACAAATTCTGAATAATTCTTCCACTAATAAAAATAGTAGTACACAAAGAGAGTAATACAAAAATAGTGGCACTCAAAGTGTTTAATACAAGAAGTGGCACTCAAAGATTTTCCCCAAAACACCCACATCATAATTCTCACTATTCTTTCTGTCTCCTCGTGTTAGGAAATCCTTCTAAAACTAGTAACTCTCTCTCTACATTTTTTCTTCTTCCTTTCTCACATGTGTATTTTTGTATTTCGCTCACCTCTTATTATAGTGACTCGAGGTTAGCGGAATTAGCCATTATATAACTCATACTAGATAACTCTCTCTCTACATTTTTTTTCTTCCTTTCTACTGTGTATTTTGCTTGAGGTTTCGCTACCTCTATTTATAGGAGAGGTTAGCGAATGAGCCATATATAACTCATTCACGTATCTCAATTTTGTCAAAAAAATCACCTGCAATTGTTGACTTTCCTTTTCTTTTCTTTCTTTCTTCAACGAACACGTTTTCCTTTTTTTTCTTTTTCAAAACGTGTGGGTCCCCCATGTCGGAGGGACCCACAATAGAATGTTGCTATATTGAGAAATTAATTAATGTTCAAAATTTAATTATTATCATTTCCTTAATAATATATTAAAAAAGAAAAAAGTTCCAAATTTTGTCTCTTGAGACTATTAAACAATTAAAGAAAATAAATCAAACCAAAACTTCAACGTAATAGAAAAACTATATTTCTTACCTTTCTGTTGTTGTTGCTGCTGTTGTTATTGTTGTTGCTTTTGCTAATTTTGGCGGTGGTGGTGCTAATGTTTCTACTATTGTTGTTGTTGCTGTTGCTATGTTGCTATTATTGTTGTTAGTGGTGGTATTCTTGTTGCTCTTGCTGCTGCTATTGTTGTTGTTGGTGCTGCTATTCTGGTTGCTCCTGCTGCTATTGTTGCTATTGTTGTTCTTGGTGCTAATGCTGCTACTATTGCTGTTTTTATTGTTGTTGCTGTTATTGTTAGTGGTGGTGGTGATGATGTTGTTGTTATTGTTAGTACTACTTTTATTGTTGTTAAATGTAAATGTATGTTCTTTTCAATTACAAGATGAAAAGTTGAAGTTCATAGAGGAATTTTGTCCATATATATGTGTGTATATTGGAAAAAGAGGGAGTAAAAGTTCAAGATTACATGCAAAGTTTAGAATAAACTACACCATCGTCATTGTGTAAAACTAAGTTCGGGTCCAAAAATGCAAAAGTATCCTCATTTGGTCTAAGAAGTCCTGTAACCATATTTCCTTCGGGTCCGATATTTTTTGTACATCTAAATGGTAGCTCAATAAAATCTTGTGGCTGGTTGGACATGCTTAGTTCACTTGCTCGATGCTTCGTTTAGAATTGCACATACAATAAAAATTCATCGCAACAATCGTGCCACTCCAAATCAAATTATGCACAAAAATTGATTTTCCTTTACACTTAACCATATTGTTGAACACTATGCATGAAAACAGGTTTTTTCAATTTTCAGCTTTTTAATATTATGTTATTTATAATATTTTTTATATACGTAAACATATTTTTTTCATTTTTCTCAACTATTCTACGAGGATAACACTTGTTTTTCTTCTTTTTTACAATTCTTGTATAAAAATAACCACGATGAATGTCTAAACATTAGCATCAAAATTATAATATAGTTTGCTACCCTGTTAAATTATTAGTTGCTTGCTACACAGCCTTTGTGTTCTATTTCCACATTCTTAAATGGCAATACAAATATTTATTCTGCTCCCTTACAAAAAAAACAAACAAATCCAAGTTTTTTTGGTTGTGTATCAATACTAACTAATAATTTTTCCTCTAAAAATTAATTATCTCCAATATCTCATATAAAAATTTTTATTCTTAATTATGATTCTTGTAAAATCTTATCACGCATCAATACAAAATAGCTAAAATAACGAGGATTCGAATCATTCATAATAAAATGGTTTCATTAGTCATAGTAAAACTGTGTCATTAGCATGCATGTTTAACATGTTATTGTTAATCATCTATTATTAAATATTAAAAAAAAGTTGGTCGAAGTATTTGTGTTAATTAATTTTAAATATAAAATTTTATAGTTAAAACACATTAAAAATGTTAGGTGGGAAAATAGAAAGATTAAATATATTATCAAAATAGTAATTTATTCTTGGAAAGACTATTAAAAAATGACAGATAAACATAACAGTGTACCAAAATAAATATGTATATATTACAAATATTATTAGCCCAACCCACAGCGGGCCCAAAAATTCCGGATTAGCCCAACCCAATTCATAGTCCAATGTCCGATCTTTAACTTATGCTGAATCTCTTCACCAGCACGTGACAAACCAAATTGACTGACATTTTAGACAATGCAAGTGCATGACCAATGGCGCAGAGGGAGTGGGTGGCAACCGCCCTTTACTCCAGTATTTTTTTTTTTTTTTTTTTTGTATATTTTTTTTTTTTTTTCTTTTTTTTTTTAAATTCCTGCGTTGAAAAAGCGTTTTATACTTTTTTTTTTTTTTTTTTTTAAATTCCTGCTTTGAAAAAGGTTATTTTTTTACTTGCCCTCTTAAATTTTTTAAAATTTTTATTTAATCCGACTAAAATAACTCGGTGGAACTGCACTTATAGGATTAATCATCATAATTTAAGACACAAGTTCAATGCTTCATAATGTAAACTCTTCGGACCAGTATCTTTGTCTTTAATCACGAGCTAACTTAGGAAAAAGTTAAAAGTTTATACCAGAAAAAACCAAATGAAAAATTATAATTTAACCATATTAATTATATTTTTCTAATCTATGTAAAAATTAAATTAGATCTTAGAATGGAAGGAGTATTTTTTTTTTCTTTATATTTCTCACATATAAAAATACACATACTTTGATTTTCATTTTGATTAAGAAAATTTATTAATATAGTTAATTAAGTTTCTTAGTGTTTTTTTTTTTTTTTTTTTTTTTTTTCCTTTTGGAATGTAAGTTGTTTTAAGATTGCCACGATTCTTACATGAATAAGACAGTAATCAGATTACTTTGTTTCGTTTATAAAAAATTATTTAATAGTAATAGTAGTAAGTGTTTTTATTGTAATAAGAGCAAACATAAATTTTATAAAATAGGGACTAAGAATAAAATTATTTTTTTTTTTTTTTTTTTTCCTTTTTGGAATGTATTGTTAGATGCACATTCTTACATGAGAAAGACAGTAATAATTACTTTGTTTGTTTTAAAAATTATTTAATAGTAATAGTAGTGTGTTTTTTAATAGACAAACATATTTAATAGGGATAGAATAAAAATTATAAAAATCAATTTATTCTAATAAAGAAAATAGGACTATAATTTATAATAAGTAAAAAAAAAATAACTCTTAACATATTTTAATGGAACCAAGGGGTAAAAATTAAATTACACAAATTAATTAGTTAGTTAATTTGTTAAAATAACATTCTTGTTCAAGAACAAATTTCAGCCGTTAGATTACAATTTGTATTGAAATAATTAACAGAAGTGCCATTGTTTTTATCGAATTTACCCTTCCTTATTTACTCTTACTTTCTGAAAAACTACACTGAAATTTGGTGGCATTTTTCACTTTCTTCTTCCTCATCCTCTCTTTCCTCCTGTTATAAATATTCTTAATTGCTAGACAAAGAAAGGGAAAGAGAAATGTCTCTGAATGATTAAAAAATAATAATAATAAAAAAATTGAATCCTAAACCCAGAACCACCACAATTCACGTATAAGATTGAATTTTCTTTTCATAATCTTTGATCGTTCTTTCCTCTCTTTTCCTGTCAGTTTCGTACCTTCCGAACACTCTCAAACCATCAAATTTTACTTAGGGTTTTCTACTTAACTGTTTCTTTTATAGTGGTTTTGCATGGATTCGGAGGATGATATGATGGATGCTAACGATGTTGAGTCGGTTGATGATGATTTCTACAGCGGTGATATGGGGGACGATTGCTACAGCGATGGCGATGGCAATGTTGAGGATGATAATGAGGATGATGATGATGATGATGGCCCTGACTATGACTTCATGGCCGAGGCTGCTGATGATCTTGATGATGTGGCGTTGAGTCGGTCACAGGTAATTCTTGTTAACTCTGTCTTCATATTAACTATTGAATTGATGACAAGTTTAGGATTCCTGAAGGTAAATTTTGAACTGTTTTAGTTTAGAAGTTAATTTTCTGTTGAGAGAAGAGGAAAGGGAGAAAAGGGAGAAATTTTGGGGCTGGCATTCTTTGTGCTGTTAAAGTACAGTAGTTTTCTTTGTGTTGATGAGAAAATTGAATGTATGAGTGAAGTTCTGGACATAGTGGCTTGTTAAGTATAATGGTGTCTTATGCAGTTCTTGAAAGCCTTTTTGCATATTTCATGATATCTGGAGGGTTAAGTAACTTGTTTCTTGAAATCCGTAATGTGGCTGCATTGTGCTAGATTAAGGGTTTTGTTTGATTCGTTTGCCTGCATTTTATAAAGTTACAAGTATTTATGCATGTCAAAAACTTGATTCTATATGGTGTATGTTATTTCCAAAACATATTTGGCTAGCTACATGCGCTGTTCTTTTCGCTTTTGTTGAGTTGGCTGTTAGCTTCAGCAAATATTATCATTAAAAGAGCTTCATCCTTGCAAAATATTGGGAGCTCTATTTGCTAGTCTTCCTGCTTTCTATGGTGTTTGTATTGTTGCAATTTTTTTCCCACTTCTGCTTTTATTTCTTAGTTGCCTTTGAAGTTTTATGCTTTTCATCACCCATTTGAGCAAACTCACTGTTCCTAAACCTTTTATTTTATTTTATTTTATCTTTTAACTTTCACTTGTTCCATAGCATAATAAAAGTAATTTGAGTTCCGAAGTATACTAATAATTTGAGCAAGTCTTGCAAAGTTACGTGGATGTAGTGAATGTTTCCTCATATTGAGGAACTGAGTATCAGACAATTGAAAGGCTTTAAATTTTGCTAAATGTTATTTGCTTTTGTTTTAACTGGCTATGTAAACTGTTGCAGACTATGTTTTTGTCTTCAAAGACATCTTGCACCTTGGAATACATCATATGAAAGTGTAATGTGTTATTGTATTATTCATCCTTAAAAGTGGAAATAATTATAGTGAATAAGTCTTTATAAATTTTATTTTGTCATTGGTTTGATTTTTTTTTTTTTCAATTTATCTATTCATTTTTAAATTTTTATATATCTTCTGTTTCAGTTAAGCTTCACCATCTTGAAGGAAGCAGATATACAACAACGTCAGGAGGATGATATTATAAGAGTGTCCACTGTCCTTTCCATATCAAGATCTGATGCAAGCATTTTACTTCGTCATTATAATTGGTATGTGGAGTCATATTTTTCATTTCTGTTTGTGTTTTGTGATTTGATAGTTAAAGAAGGGCATGCAGCACTTTATCACAGGATATGTGGATTGTTGTTTACAACTTTTGATTTACAGAAGTGTAATCTGTGAGTTATACAAGGAAAATATTTATGGGAAACTATCTGCATATTGCATTCTTTTATGATAGAGCTGTATGGTTGAAGGTTATTCTGATGGAACTTGACTTTACAGGAGTGTTAGTAAAGTTCATGATGAATGGTTTGCTGATGAAGAGGCAGTTCGAAAATCTGTTGGGTTGCTGGACAAGCCAGTAGTTCAATTTCCAAATGCTAGGGAAGTATGTGCTTCAGACATTTGATTTCTAGTGGGATTGACTTCAGCTTGTTTAATCTTTCATGTTGTTTTCACTATGGCGCTGCTTATATACTGTTTTGTTTTCAATGGCAGCTTACTTGTGGGATATGTTTTGAATCCTTTCCTCGCAACAAGATTACTTCAGCTGCTTGTGGCCATCCCTTTTGTAGCACTTGTTGGTCAGGTACATCCGTGCCAATTTCAATTAACCTTCACTTTGATGTTTATATATTTATGTCCCATTATTGGAGCCCAAATTTACTGAAAGCTTTTATTCTTTTCACATTTATGTGCATTTTGATGTCTGGTTCTGATAATAAAAAATTAGTTTGAACTTCTAGTAAATATTTCCTTATCTCCTCTGTCAATACTTGTGTATCCTTATTCCTAGTTATTAGTTCTAAATATTTATTGATGCTTTTTATTTATTAATTAGAATATTGTCATACAAAATATAGCATGTTAATTATTCTCTTCTTGATTGCCTCTTGGCCTGGTGGATTGAGCTATTCATCTCTGTTCAATGTTTTTTTGTGTTGTTAGCTATGCATAAAAGAGTGAAGGGTATCTTACGTTACTATTGTTCTGTCGTAATCCTATTGTTCTTTGGAGTTTACCTTCTGTCATTTGTTATTTTGCTAGGTTACATTGGTACAACCATTAATGATGGTCCTGGATGTTTAACACTAAGATGCCCCGATCCATCTTGTCGAGCTGCTATTGGTCAAGACATGATCAACTTATTAGCGTCTGATGAAGATAAGGATAAGTATTGTCGTTATCTTCTTAGATCCTACATTGAAGACAACAGGAAGGTATTCCTTGGATTTGCAGTCCTAAGATCTGTTTCTTATATTCTAATAAATAATAACATGATCAATTTCTTTGAACTTAAATATTTGCTGACATGTGGAGGTTGAAATTTAGGCAGTACTTTTTTTTTTCCAAAACCCCCGATTAGCATTTCCTTTCACTTGCTTCATTTCTCTATACAGTATGGTGTCATGAACCTCAAAGGTTGATGTCCCTTCTCTATTTGACATTGAAGTTATGCCTAAGACTACTTCTCATGCTGACTGCACTTGTTAATGAAGTATGGAACTATAGATGAGCCAAGCTAGTCGTGAGCTGCTCAAGGCTTGGCTCAACATGTTTGATGAGTTTAATGAGCTGAGGTCAAATAAAGCTTGTTTAGTAGATGAGCCAAGCCCGGGCTTTGGAAGCTTGCGAGCTAGCTTGATAATAGTAAATGGGCGACAATATATATATATATATATATATATATATATATGTATATCATGTATTCTATTGTAAACTGAGCTCAAGCTCGTTCAAGCTTGGCTTTTGAAGCTTCAATTGAGGTCATTTATATCTCTGTTAAAGTGTTGCTGATGCTTTGAAAACCTGCAATTAATTCCAATAGAAGTTGTAAATATATGTTGTACTTCAGTTGAATATGGATTACCTTTTTTTCTCTTCTTCTTGTAAAGTTATTTGCTTGTTTTTTTGCCTTTTCTAATAAAATATGTCTACCAACTTGCTTGATGTTATTGATTTCATTTTGATATGACATCTTTAATTATGCTATTCTGATTGATGTGCTGGGCTGGTGAATAACTGCTATTTATGTGCTTCCTTCTGTGTTTTTTATGCTTCTGACTGCTGTTGCTCCTTTGCAATTTTTTTCTAAATCTAGACCAAGTGGTGTCCTGCACCAGGATGTGAATATGCTGTTGATTTTGCTGCTGGTGGTGGAAGTTTTGATGTGTCCTGCCTCTGTTCATATAGCTTTTGCTGGAATGTAAGTTCCCTTGAAGTTCTTGTATCTTAGTGCTTAGGCATTAGTTGCCACAAACTGATTAATGAAAGCTATTGGATTATTGCAGTGCACAGAGGAAGCTCACCGTCCTGTGGACTGTGAAACTGTTTCAAAGTGGATTTTGAAGAACAGTGCTGAGTCTGAAAACATGAATTGGTAAAGAACGTCTTTATTCATCTAAAACTGTATAGTCTGATTATTATTAATTTTCTTTTAAGTAAATTGTTGCTTGTTTCTTTTCTCCATAATTTGTGGTTATGGAATTGTTTAATTTTGAATTGGCCTGGCTTTGTTATCTGTGAGAATTAGAGTGTTGACTTTCTATGTTACTTGAGTTGCATGGTGAAAGATTTTTATGGGTATTTTCTAGCATGTTTATTTATTTTTTCTTAACTTTTAAAACTATGATTCCTGATTGATGACCATATATATCAGCCTTGATTGGATACATCATCTGAACACATTGTACTATCCTTTCTTTATCTGAGAAAAAGCTAGGAAATGGATATCAGTGTTCACATTACTGTCTTGTGAGAGATTGTATTAGGCCATTTTCTATAGGATTAGTTTCCTTTTTATGTATCAACATTTACAAAAGCATGTGGCTGTAATTCCATATTTAATGATCAAGGTTGACATTTGGCTATTGTCTTAGTTATCCCTTTGATGATAAACAGTAGGTTCTCATGTCATTAGTGCCTGTTTTTTTATTTTTTTATTTTTTTATTTTTGTCTTGTGAGAGATTGTATTAGGCCATTTTCTATAGGATTAGTTTCCTTTTTATGTATCAACATTTACAAAAGCATGTGGCTGTAATTCCATATTTAATGATCAAGGTTGACATTTGGCTATTGTCTTAGTTATCCCTTTGATGATAAACAGTAGGTTCTCATGTCATTAGTGCCTGTTTTTTTATTTTTTTATTTTTTTATTTTTTTTTTATTTTTTTATGTTGGTCATAAATTATGAAGTGAGAAGAGCTGGTATAGTCATGCAGCATATGTGCTCACTAATTGTTGTGTCCAGTACACATGCATATGCATGCAAAACACACACACAGATATTGCAGTGTCTTGCAGACAGTCTATGGAGATTGTGTTTTTATTTATAGTTGCAGGTAGCCTGTAACACATGGATATTGATTTTGCTACTTTCTCTATATGTATTTATTAGCTGTAAGAAGATGAGATGTGATAGGTTGATTTCTTTATGACACTCAGGATACTTGCCAACTCCAAGCCTTGTCCAAAGTGCAAGCGACCGATTGAAAAAAACCAAGGGTGTATGCATATGACTTGCACGCCACCTTGTAAATTTGAGTTTTGCTGGTAACTTTTGTTTTTTATATTAATCATCAATTGCTTTTGCTTTATCCTTAGGTGTTTTTTAGTTATTGGAATGAATATGTGAATGCAGGCTATGCCTTGGTGCATGGTCAGATCATGGTGAGAGGACTGGTGGTTTCTATGCTTGCAATCGCTATGAGGCAGCTAAGCAAGAGGGAGCGGTAAGGGCATTGAGAAGTTGTCATTTGTATGAAATTCTTCTTATTTCTCTTCCCATTGATATGAATGGTAAGGGAAAAGGCTGAGCGCTCTACATGGCTTACATAATTGATGTTATTGCCTTTAGTACGATGAAGCAGAGAGGAGGAGAGAAATGGCAAAAAATTCTTTGGAGAGGTATACTCATTATTATGAACGATGGGCAAGCAATCAAACGGTATGCAGTTATGGGATATATTGTTGTTTCTGTGCTGTGTTTATGGCATGTTTTCTGATCTTTATATCCTATTATGTTAGGAGTTTTTTTGCTTTGCTTAAAATTATTTGGTAGTGTCAGTCTGTATAATGAAGGTTTGACCTTTTAAGTTGTAATGCTAACCTGCATTCTTTAAAACACAGAAATTGGGAAGCAGGGTTGAGTGGAATAAAGGAAAAAAAGGGGAAAAAGAAGAGATTTTCCTTTCTCTACATATGTTTAGATGATGTAGGAGGGCCTTTGGCAGAGAAGGAATATTTTGCTCGTTTCTTTTTTTTTTTTTTGAACTTTTTTTTTTCAAAAAAAAAAAAAAAAAAAGGAATATTTTTGCTCGTTTCTTTTTTTTTTTTTGAACTTTTTTCTTTCAACAAAAAAAAAAAAAAATTCCTTTGCCTCACCTTTCCTCCCCTAATCTTCGCTAACCTTTTTTTTCTTTATTTTTCTGTCTTTTTCCATGCTAAAGATAGGCGCAAACAAAGATAAAAGAAAAAAGAGAAAAAAATAGTTGTTTTGTGTTTTTTACTCTGTATGTAATTCTAGTAATAAGCTAAGCCTCCTTACAAGTTTCAGCAATTTGCGGGGCATTGTTTAACTCCTGTCAGTTCTTACAGGTCTATGAAGAAGTCCATATTTACTGAAACACTTCCAAGTTCACCTGATCATTTTTTTTTATTGTTGTCCATATCTTTGATCTCTTTCTAGGATTATGAACATTATATGTTGTATGTATTCTCAAAACATGTGTAATATATCTGTATAAATCTTTGGATCCCTTTTTTTTTTTTTTTTTGTCTTTTTCCATGCTAAAGATAGGCGCAACAAAGATAAAAGAAAAAAGAAAAATAGTTGTTTGTGTTTTTACTCTGTATGTAATAGTAATAGCTAAGCCTCCAACTTACAAGTTTCAGATTGGGGGCAATTGTTTAACTCTTAGTTCTTACAAGGATCTATGAAGAAAGTCACATATTTCTGAAACACTTCCAAGTTCCACCTGATTATTTTTTTTTTATTGTTTCCATATCTTTGCATCTCTTTTAGGATTATAAATTAATGTGTATGTATTAAAACATGGAATATATCTTTGTATAATCTGGAAGTTTTGCTTTCTTATGTGACAGTCAAGGCAAAAAGCTCTTGCAGATTTACATCAAATGCAAACTGTATATGTGAGTTATATTTTTCATTTTCTACTCTATCAAATGCATCTATGTATTTTCATTTTTTTTCATTCAATGAAATGTGCTCTAATCTGCATTCCTATGGTAACTAGTCATTGAAGGATAATGCCTTGTGAATTTTGTCTGGAAAGAATATACTAGCGAGATGCTCTGAATAATTTGAATGTGGATTGGTGTTTATGCTTGGTAGATGTCCTCTTGGTCATACTTGACAAATCACACATTAAATTCTACACAAATATTATAGAAAGTTCTGACGTCTCTCTTTGAGTTAAACGCTGGGTTGATCACCTATTTAATGACAAATGGCCTAATGACTCCCATGAGACTTTTTACAAGCTGAAAGAACAGCTAGACTAAAATGTGCAGTATGGTAAAAGTCGAAATATTTAAACTTCAATAGCACCAATTATGATGTTCCTTGTTGCCTATCTTTTCTATTTCCAGGTTAAGCCACATATTTTGTATGCTTTTTGTTTGCTTGATCTCTCATGTGCATGCTGCTCACAAACTTATATTCTATGAGTATTACCTGTATTATATATTATTTTTCTCGTAAACCACCCTGGATGATCAATTTTTCTTCTAAATGATAAAATTATTGTGTTTCTGTCTGAATTTTGTTATAAGAATGTTGTGAATAGTACATGTCTTTTGTTCATGTTTCTTAAATTGACTGATAAGATCCATTTCAATGCTGCTGGATTTTATATAACGTGGAATTCTTGATTTTTGCCAGCTTGAGAAACTCAGTGACATACATTGCACACCCGAGTCTCAGCTCAAGTTCATTGCAGAAGCCTGGCTTCAGGTGAATCTGAAGTTTATTTTCTGTGGTATAAATTGTTATAACAACATTTATTCAAAGCAGTAAAAGAGGACGCTTATTCTATCAATGCTGACTTTGTTTATCCAGAAAAGATAAACAAGCCAGTTTTGCTATTCCCATAAAAATTACTTGAGGAATGAAAAGGAAAAAGGGGACAAAAATATGCGAAAGAGAGTGTGTCTGCTTTCATTAATGTATATTATTGTCCTTTTACTTGTTCACAGATAGTTGAATGCAGACGAGTTCTGAAATGGACCTATGCATATGGGTACTACTTACCTGAGCATGAGCATGCCAAGAGACAGTTTTTCGAATACTTGCAAGGTATATATTGCTATATGTAACATTTAGCAGATGTCATATAAGAATCATCAATGGTCTTGCAGCCTATTGGGTTCCCTTCCCCATATGAAGAGGGGTTGGTTGGTGGGTGGTTGGTTTGATCTACTTAGGTGTCTGATTGCATATACAATTAGGGAAAAAGAGGATAACATAAAAAGAACTGGTTTTGAGCCATCTATATGTTTTCTGTAGGTGAAGCTGAGTCTGGCCTGGAAAGGCTTCATCAGTGTGCAGAGAAGGAACTACAACAGTTCCTCAATGCTGATGGCCCGTCGAAGGAATTTGATGATTTCCGAACAAAGTTAGCTGGGCTGACAAGGTACTTGGTGAAATTATATATTGATGTTCAATTTTTATTTGAGGTGAAAGTTGTATGGAATTTAAGCTTTTGGTTTGCTGCAATTGAATATAATATAATGTAAGCAAATGCTTGGATAAGGAGTTGTACATAAAAATTTTTTTGGATCCCATTTATAGATGATGGTTAGTTTATTTTCATTTCTTCTCTCTCTCTCTGTCTCTCCTCTTGTCTCTTTCACACAGACACCGCACATATTGAATATCATATGCTGATTGAAACTGCACCATTTATTAATAAGTTGTCATCCTTGCATGAAATTCTAGTATGGGCTGATATTTGATAAGCAATAAAGAACTCCTACCTTTTTCAAAAAGGTGGAAACATCAGTTAGATGCAAGTTATTTTTCTACTTGTTAAAGCTCCATAAGGTTTTAACTAATTTGAGTCTTGTCTATTTCTAATTGTAACAGTGTTACAAAAAATTACTTTGAGAATCTGGTTAGAGCATTGGAGAATGGTCTAGCAGATGTGGACTCTCATGGTGCCTGTAGCAAGACAACAGGCTTAAAAAATGCAGGAGGTGTTGGCAAGGGAAAAGGAGGAAGGGGGAAAGGAAACAGTAAACTTGGCGATTCCAGCAGAAGCACGGATGATTAATCTAGCTCTTGCCATGGCCAATTTAACCACCATGTGCCAGGTATGCTGCTGCTGCTGCTGCTGCAACTGTTTAAACTTCTAATTCCTTTTGTTGGTGGGATCTACCTACTTCTCTAAGGTAGGTTAAACTAATAGGATGATTCTGGAGGATTCTTTGTATGTAATGTATGGTGGCTCATCTTTTTGTGGGGCTCTTCAATGTGTGAATTGTAATTAGATGTCAAAGAAGGATTGATGAAAAAAAATTGGAAAACCTCTTTCCGAACCCTTGTGTGTTTGAAGGGAAGCACCAAGTGTGGTGTGTTGTATATAGTTCTATCAATTAAAAGATCAAGGTTCTGCATCTTACTTTTCTTATAAAATTATCTATACAAATTCTGTCTCTGAGTGCAAATATACTTGTTTGTCGAAGAAAGCTGTGGCTTCAAAAGACTCTTAATGAGCATGGCTGTGCTCATCTTTCTCAGTGAATCCATTCTTAGATGACAGATATGAGGATAGCTTTCCATTGTTTGGTTCAAAAGGAAAACAAATACACATGTGCGCGCCGCACACACACAAACATATAAATTCACTTGTGTTGTATCATTCTCTTTCAAATACAGTTTTTTGAAGGCCTGATGCATAAATTTAATCTTGAACTTTAGCTGATTTTCCTTGTGGTTATGACTTTGCACTTTTACATTTCAGTAATAATCATGTCCCTCGCAGAAATGAAATAACTTTGCGGGATTTCCTTGTATTTTCACATTTCATTTTAGCAAGGGGCATGATTATTATTAAAATGTGAAACTGTAAGATCATGATTAGTCTCCTACAAAGTTGAGGGGCCACAAGGATAATTACTGAAAGTACATGTGAAATTTATGCATTAGGCCGTTTTAAAGCAATTCAGTGTGTGGCGCACACTCGGATTGTACTGCCGTTCATTTGGAGAATTATGTCCTGAACATGAATCTTGTTTCTTCAATATACTTTGCTATTGACATTGTTGTTTGGTGGGTTATAAATTCTTTTATTGAAAGTTACAAAATATTAGGTAAAATGTAATATTGTATTGGGTGCTTATCTGATTGTGCAAAAAGAATAAATAAACCTTCTCAAAAAAAAAAAAAAAAAAAAAAAATTCAGTGGTGGCGCACACTCGGATTTGTACTGGCCCGCTCATTTGCGAGAATTATGTCCTGAACATTGGAATCTTGTTTCTTCAAATTACTTTCTGCTTTTGACATTTGTTGTTTCTTCGGCCTGGGTTATAACATTCTTTATTGAAAGGTTACAGCAAAATAATTAGGTAAAACTGTAATATGTGTATTCGGGTGCTTATCCTGATTGTTGCACAAAAGTGAATAAATAAACCCTTCTCAAATAAAAAAAAAAAAAAAAGAATATAATAAAAAGGGTGTTCTTAGTATTCATTTACCTTCAAGTTTAATTTACATGGAATGCCCGAACCTTGTCAACTAGTATACATAATGCATTGTTGTCTTTTCTTTTATTTTTTTTTTTTTTTTGATTTTCATTTTTCACAACCATATGAAAATCCCTCCTCCCACTACCATTATCTTAACCGGCTTTTTTTTTTTTTTTTTTTTTTTTGATTTTCATTTTTCACAACCAATGAAAATCCCTCCTCCCCTAATTATCATAAAAAGGTAATCTCAGGTCAAATCAAAACTAGCACTTCTAATCCTCAAATGGTCTTTTTACACTTTTGTATCCCAAAAAAATCCTATAATACACAAGCAAAGCAAGAAGCTAGTTTGATTTGCTTTTTTGGATTTACTTTGGTTTTTCACTTGAGTAGCTAAATAAGTTGTTTACTGACTTGCATAGATTTGTCTTTCAGTAATTTCATGCTCAGTGCATTTAACATTGCTCTTGAATATTGTCTTGAAGCCATTCTCCAGTCCATCCCATTTTTCATCATTGCTTTAAATTCTGCATAACTGATTCTACCATCCTGTGTAAAAAAAAATTACAGTGAAGTAACTGAGGAGGGGAAAAGAAAGAGAAAGAAAGGTAAAGTTTTTGAGAATTTTTATTACCCTATCAAGATCAACATCAGCTATGATGTCTCTTATGACTTGCTCATAGTTGGGACCTAGGTTGTCCTCCATCATAGCATCTCTCAACTCGTCTAACTCGATAAACCCGTTTTGGTTTTTGTCGAAAAACCTGAAAGCTTGAGAAAGATGTTCATCGTTCCCAATTTTTATGAGATGAATTGACATTGCCACAAACTCATCAATGCATAGTGTGCCATTTCCATCATTGTCCGCCTTATAGAGATGACAGGAAAATTTTATATAGTCAGTGTCAAAGACTTACATTTAAAGAAAGAAAAAAAAAAAAAAAAAAAATACGATTTTAAAGAAAGAAAAAAACGAAAAAAAAAAAAGAAAAAACAAGGAAAGAAGAACACTTTAAAAAAAAAAAAAAAAAAAGAAAAAAAGGAAAGGAAGAAACTTACTGCATCAAGTAACATCCGAACTTCAAGATCAGGAAGAAAATGTCCAATCTTTTGGAGGCCATCTTTGAGTTCTTCAAAAGACAAGTGTCCATTACAGTCGGTATCCATCATATTAAACATCTGTTTGATACCTTCTAATTGTTCATTTGGCAAGTTGTCTGCTACCACCTAAAACAAGCATCATACATACACAAAACTTCGTTAAACATACATATCCTATAAGTTGTAACTTATGTGGTAAGATACGTTATTCTTTTGCAAAGTTAGAGATTCTGATTTGGGGAAAAAACACTTACAGAAGGAGTAATCATAAAACAAATATTATACATAAAAACTTCATTAAACATACTTCTTTTAATATACCCGTACACAGTCTATAAGAAGCGACTCAAGTGATGATAGGACACGCTTAAATTCAATAGAAGACTTCTGTAAGGTCAAAAGTCCGATCCGCAGGAAAAACATTTATAAAAATGAGTGATCACGAATCTCGGAACAAGAAAAATATTTATAAAAATGAGTGATCACGAATCGTGAAACAAGATTAGTCTCGTATTCAAAAAAACGATCTCCCGCGGAACATATGAAACAATTATTTACTAAAATGCAGTGCATTCGCACGAATCGTTTTGACTATACAAATGATTAGTCTCGTATTCACAAAATCAAAAAAATACAAATCAAACTAGCTCTTTATACTATATACTACGGTGACCACCGTATATAGTATATATATGAAAGAATAGAGTTCCGGAAAACTTACTTCGCAGAAACCTTCTCTTCTTTGAAACGTTGTCTTCAATCAAGGAGAACGTGCTCATTAATTCTCTTGCTCTGATTACATACTTTCTACCTACATGCGACTATATATAAGAATAGAGTTCCGAAACTTACTCGCAGAACTCTCTTCTTGAACTTGTTCATCAAGGAGAACTGCTTAATTCTTGCTCTTACATTTTCTCCTAATGCGACGTTAGGAACATCGCTTGCATTGTGTATCCAAGGGTGTGCTTCATTATAAAAATCCAAGGGTTAGTCTATCTTACCATTTTGTCCATTTAAGAAAAGCATTATAAGATTTAGGGTTTCAAGATAGAAAAATAAATAGAAAAGCATAATTAATTCTTACCAAGCACTTCTTGAACAGTAAATCGGCTGTAAGGATTTTGATCGAGCATATTACCAACAAGGTCCTTTGCATCTTTAGAAACCCTAGGCCAAGGGTCTCTTGAAAAATCTAGTCTGCCTCCAACTATTGCATGTGCAATCCCTTCTTCAGTTTCTGTACAAGTCATATATCCAGAAATTAATATCCCCTCATTAAAACTCATTTCAAGAAAATCTTTTCATCTATTGATTGATTAGCAAGATTTGAGTTTAGGGCTTGAGATGGTTTTATTACCTGCCCAAAAGGGAGGAACTCCACAAAGCAAGATATAAAGGATGACACCAGCACTCCATACATCAACTTGTGGTCCATAATTTCGTCTTAGAACTTCAGGAGCCATATAATATGGACTTCCAACAATTTCACTGAATCGCTGACCTGCATGCCGCCATAGCCAACATGGGTAAGTTGCTGCAATAAATGTTAAAGAAAAAAAACAACTCCAAATATATATATTAGCCAACGATGGTTTAAGTTGCTGCGAAATAAATGTTATAAGAAAAAAAAAAACAACTCCATAATACATTCCTCCTAGGCTCGTCGTACTATATATACTCTCTTATATATCTACTATATACTACTTATATATCGTATACTATACCAATTAATACACAATACGCTTTATAAGCATTATACTCTACTATACCATTTCACCAGGTTCTTGAGGATAAGGCACATATTGGAGAGGGCCGACATTCAACGTTGCTTTTGTACGGGCATTTTCTACTCGATGTATCTGCGAACAGGAAAATTTTTACCGGTTTAGACTGGTCCCATGTGACTATAACTCTCCATGTCCATGGTATACCTGCAAGATTGTCTCACAACACATGACACATATATATATATATATACATACCAGGCTGAAAGAATATGGAGAGGCCGAAATCAATTGCTTTTAACGGGGCATTTTCTCGAGTATCTGCGAACAGGAAATTTTCCGGTTTGAGGTCCCTGTGTATAACTCCATGTTCATGGCATACCTGCAAGATTGTCAAACACATAGTAATTAATATATTTAAAGTTCACAATCTAGCGGGTAATTGGATCAGCGAAAGTAGATTGCATCATCCTCAACCATTGGAGGGTTTTCGAAAACTATTTCTGGTCCAAGCAGAGACACCAAAAAAGAAAAAAAATATTTACCTTAACAATTTCCAAAATGGTTTTGGTAACCATAGCGGCAGCACGTTCAGTATAATGTCCTTTTGTCACAATCCTATCGAAGAGCTCACCTCCTTCACAAAGTTCCATAACAAGATAAACAGCATCTCTATCTTCATATGCCTCTTTAAAGCTAACAATATTAGGATGTTTAGGCAAATGCCTCATAATCTCAACTTCTCTTCTCACATCTTCTACATCTATTTCTGTCTTCAATTTTGCTTTTGATATTGTCTTGCATGCATATGTTTTTTCTGTTTCAACTTCAAAACATTGGTAGGTTATTCCAAATTCTCCCCTCCCTAATTCCTTCCCAAACCTATATTTTTCTCTTACGTTATTTCCTGCTGGGTCTTTTAGCACATTCCCTACATGGAACACCGCTGACCGCCGTGGCATGCTGTATTCCGGCAGGGGTTTTGGTCGGTTGTCATAATGCAACCTTCTTGATATAATCCGGCCGGCTTTTAGAGGTGCAGAAATGCAGCCTCCCATGGAAATTATGAGGTTAGGGTTCTTGTTTTTTTTGTTTTTTTTTTTTTTTAATTTTTGTTTCTTTTTACCTTTCCTTTTTCTTTCTTTGTATTATGTGTTATGGACAATCCATAATCAGAAAGAGAGGAGAGAATAGAAACCCTAACAGAAAGGATGGAGAGGGGAGGAAGGTAGAAACTAAATATTAGGGAAGAAAATGGAAATATAATATTGATAGTTACAAAAGGAGTTTATTGGTTAATTCTTGTTTTGATTTTCCCTCTATTTTATTAGGGGTGTATGTTTTAATACCCATCATTTGCTTGATTTATTTTCTTTTTTTTAACTAATTCATGGCTAATTTTTGCTGTTTAATTTGCTTTTATGATTCATCTTATTGTTTCCTATATTCAAGGCCAAACAATGAAATTATAATGACAAAAATGAATTATAAAAAATTGACTTGTCTCTCAGTTTTATTATTTAATTTATCGAAGCGCACAAGATTCCATCCTAATGATCGCAGGATCGAGTTGTCACCCTGATAATCGCAGGATCGAGCTGTGGAGTTGACATTTTAGAGAGAGTTTTTAAACATAATCATGCCTGGAAGGGATTGTGGGGTCAGACATCTTGGAGATGACTTTTAAACATAATCGCTCTTTGGTTTGAAAGGAATTAGTCTCTCGTGTTTTTATTTTTTTATTTTAATTTTTCTATCTAGATCGATGAATTATAATTCGGTGAATCTTTTTGAAAACTATGCCAGATTTTACAGATTGGTAACTTTTTTTTTTTCTTTGAGAAAACAGATTGGTAACTTTAAGTATATGGGTTAAAAGTAAATTGTAGTTCTATATTATTTCAAGAATTTACCCCCCAAAAAATAGTTTTACATTCAGAATATTTTTTTAAAAAAATGAATTAACAAACAGTCTCATATGATTAATTTGATAATTTTTCCAAGGGATAAAAAAAGAAAAAAGAAATTATAAAATTTGAATGAGTAAAACGTGTTGGATTTTCAATATATTCAATAAAATTCTTCACAAATAGTTTGAATTGGTTGGTGTGTTTAGGTTTAGGGAATATGAAGAGAAATTCAAAAGAATAGTACATATGTTAATTTTGGACTTGTACTTCTTAATTACTGCTATTATACATTAAGATTGCAGTACAGAACACAAATTTCATCCTCAATTCAGTACTGGTAGGAAGGGATTGGCTCTAGTTTCCAAATCTGGTTCAACCACAAACCCATGGATGCGTTGAAACTTTTTTTTTTTATATCGGGGTAGTTTTTATGTTGACTAGTCGACAAATGTAGTTCCTGCTCTCTACGAGAATGTGTTGGAACAAGATGATAAAATTTTCTTATGAACATATAATAATAATAATAATAATAATAATCTTATTTTGCATAGTGTAAAATCTAAATATTTTCCTTTGTATTTTTTTTTTTTTTTGCTGTAATTAGAGAAATTAAAATGGCAAATAGTAGGTGGATTAAACTTTCCGAGAAGGTTCTCATGTCCTTAGTTCATTAGGCTAACTCATCTTGCTCGCACCACGTTAGGTTTATAAAAGGTAAGTTCTTGGAGATTTTTATTTTTTAAGATCAAATACTTGACATTAAGGGATTTGAATTCTTTTTACTTGGACCAACCATCGTTGATGAATCGTAATAATTTAATTTATTTGAATTCTATAATTTTTATATATCCATAATTAATAACTGGTAAAAGATAGGATAGTTTATTTCAATTTTATTTTTCACATTCTTTTGGATACTCAACTTTTACATAGTAAAAGCTTATTATTCTTGGAAAAAAGAAAATACAAGAAAATAACTAATATATTTATACAAGAAATTCGAATCTCAGCCAAAACTAATTATAATAACAAGAAAAAGAAAAAAAAGTAATCCGTCAATGGATAAAAAACAACTATTTTCTTGCCATAATACTCCATTCAACAACAAGTACTCATCGGAGGAAGATGATAGTCATTAGTAGGAGGCGGTGGAGATTTCTTGAAAATCCGACTTCCAAAAATCAAGAACCCAAGACTATGCCCAGCCATAGCCGCCAAGAAAACACCACCATTAAAAGACATAATTGCCAACATGGCCATATTAGCCAAACCAACCCTTATGGCATGGCAAAAAGTCTGTATTAAACCAGCTGCAAGATTGGAGGTTCCAGGTTTTATCAACTGGGAATGAGACACACACTCCACAAGAAAACATATCAGAAACACAAAAACCAGAGATAAAATGTACATTCCAGTATTATTCTTTCCAGGCCAACCTGAAAAGAGAATTTCAGCATTTTTACCCCAATAGAATGTCATATGCATCATCATCATCTTGTGATGGTGAGGCATCATCATCCCTTCTCCTGTGGTGTTGTTCATGGCGGATGGTTCTTTCGGGAGAAGGTGTTCAGAACTGTGAAGTTGCGGGTTTAGAACTTTCGTTGCTTTGGCAATTGGGGTTTGGTTTTGATTCTGTTATATAGAGAAAGGTAGACGTTGGTGAATTTGATAGTACAAATGAAAAAGAGAAGTACTTTTGAAAGTGAATATAACTAGTACAAAACCAATTCATCAAATTTTCAGCAACATTTTCTTTTTGTTGTTGGTTATTTTTTTTCTAAGTAATGTGGTTCTGCAAATAATTTTTATTTTAATTTTCTTTTGTGTTAAGATTTACAATTTAAAGTTTATTTTTATTATATTTTACTTATTACAAATATTTAAAGAAGTTGAAAAAAAAAAAAAGTTAAAAATCAAATTTTGTAAACCTCTTTATAACAAAAATAAATACTCGATTATTGACCTATTGATACAAATGAAATAAGAAAATATGTGAAAACGATATTTAATTTATGGTTTCACATTTATTATATAAAAAAATAATTTGTTAAAATTTTAAATCATATTTATTATAACCTTATAAACATTTATATACAAAAGGTTTTGTTATTTATTTTTATTTTTAAAAAAGAGTGATCATTTAATTTATTTTTCTCAAGAAAAAAGGATCAATTTGTTAATTAGATCAAAGTTTAGGATTTAATAATAATTTATCCTCCGTATGTTTCGATAAACCCGGTATCTTTCTTGCTTTCTCAGTTCCTCTCCCGCCATAATGCGGCTAAAACCCTAGCAAAATATTCATTCGCCGGCCGACCTAAAACCCTCCGTTCGATTTCGGCCGCCAACAAAATCCAAACAAGAACAATGGAGACTGATGCAGTAATGGATCCAATGGACTTAAAAGTCACGGAGTTGTTGAAGGAAGTCCAGGTCGATTACTCACCTGCGTTCACCAAGCTAGTAGACGACACCGTTTCAGCTATCAAAGAATCCATCAACAAAATCCCTGAAGGCCTCGAGGTCCGTTTCTTTAGACTTCAGTTTCTATTCACTGAAGATCGATTCTTTGTCCTGTTAAAAACATTTTTGGTTTCAGTTTTGTTGAAGTTTTAAACTTTTAGCTCGTTAGTTGAGTATTGAATAATTTGCTTTATTTGATTAAATTATTTATTTTTTTGAAAATTGAGCAGGTTAAAGGTGATGAAGCACCAGGTTTTGTTAAGGATATTGGTGCAGATAAAGTGGAGTTCAAGTTTAAGAAGCCAAACTCTATTGAAATTGGAGGCAGTTATTCAATGCAATGCATTGCAAAGCCTGAGATTAACGTGGACCTCTTTGTTCAGTTGCCAAAGGTACTGGTTGAAGTATTATTTCTTTTCCTTTGTTCTGTATAAACTTATGACAGAGAGCAGTTGAAATGAATGTAAATGTTGGAAATTTGGGATATTTAAAAGTTATATCTATAAATTAGAATCTATGATCCGTGTAGATGTGGGTACATGCTTGATTGATTGAGTCTTGATAAATTATTGGCTATAACTATATAGCTATAAGGTAAATTTGGGCGGAAGGGGATGATGACTTTAACAACAGTAATTGCTGATGGAAAAGATTTAGAAAATGGTGCTTTGCCAATAGGTTCTTTAAGATATAAGGTGTTAATCATTCTAGGTGTATGGATTTGAGATGGTAGTTAAAAGAGTTTGGCGGTAGTTGGGCTTGTATTTGTCTGGGATTTAATTCTCACTTTAAAAGCTGCTTGACATAAGTTACAGAGACTTTCTAATCATGTAAACAATTGGGATAGTGCTTTTCTAAATTTAAGTTTCAATATTCACTTTCTTTAATTAACTCTATGACAGGAGTGCTTCCATGAGAAAGATTATTTAAATTATAGGTATCATGCCAAAAGGTGCCTTTACCTCTGCATGATCAAGAAGTATTTGAAGTTGTCTTCACCAATCCACAAGGTTGAATGGTCCTCCTTTCAGAACGAGGCCCGAAAACCTGTATTGCTAGTGTATCCAGGTTCACCTTCTCTTCTCTCAAATTATTTCTGAGTAATGACTTCTTCATATAGTATTGAATTTGTAATGATTGTTTCAGTACCTTATTAATAATTGTTTTGTGGTGGGCTGGGGGTTATAGCCAAGAAGCTTGCTGAAGTTCCTGAGTTTTTTGTAAGGATAATTCCAATGGCAAGATTCCTATTTAATGTAGCAAAGTTGGACTTGAAGCGGAACAATATCCGTGCTTTAAATCAAGGTAGCATGATGTCTTCAGTTCAGGAGTGTCAATATTATTGAGATATATTAAAATTTCTTTATCAAACTGTTGTTCTATTTGGAATTTATTTAATTTGAAGGGAGTCTTCCTCTGTCTACACCAAGATACAATAGCAGTATTTTGGAAGACATGTTTTTAGAGGATAATTCAGAATTTCTTAAGAAAACTTTTCTTGGATGGAAGGAAATGCAAGAGGCTTTGATTTTGATGAAGGTATGCGTTGCATAGCTTTCTCATTCTAAATATTAATATGACTAGGTTGTTTATTTCGTATGGATGTAAAATTTGTTTGCTTTCTCATTGCTCTAGGTTTGGGCTCGGCAGAGAAGTTCTATATATGCCCATGATTGCCTAAATGGGTTTCTAATAGCTGTCATTATGTCATACCTAGCAACTTATGAGAAGGTTAATCATTCTATGAGGCCGTTGCAAATATTTCGTGTCACAATGGAATTTATAGGTATGCCCAGTTTTTCTTTTTGCTTGATGTGCATGCAGAGAATTGAATTGGCCTTTGCACTCTTAAGTTCTAAAATTATTTTTGAAAATTTAAGTAAACTATATGATTTTCCTTGAGTGCTATTCCTTATTTACAACTAATAACTTTCAGCGCTTAAAGTGAAGCTAATGTTTTCCATTGCACCATCACATCCATCAACCATGCTTTTTTTTTTTTTTTTGTTGATTAACTTGTTAATGGTTCAGCAACTGCTGCTTTTTAATGTAATGTTTATGAGTACATGAATGAGCTTAATGCGAGAAACTAGCTTAGATAAGACTTATTCTTGCATTTGACAACCGAATTTTCATACAAGGTCCACTTCAAGTGAAATCTGGCTTATAAGTCTTTAGAAACTGGAAATGCTGACACAACAATACTATGTAACTGCAAGAATCATGTTATTTTCGTTGTTTTGCAGCTAGTTCAAAATTATGGAGCCAAGGGCTTTACTTTCGGCAGCAAAATGAAGCCAAAATATCCAAGGAGGTCTGATGTTGACATGATATTTTTAGTTATATGCTCTACATGCCATTTGCTTTTAGTTCATGTGGTATGACTTCCCCCACTGCCCCTATACCCATATACCTACAAACACAAAGAAGCGATAACTAATTGAAACATCTACTCATTTTCCTATCAACTAGATATTGCAATTCAGCAAGGACACTCGCCAAAATTTGGAAAAAAAAGGCCCAATTTCATGCAACTAGAGCCTACCTGAAAGAAAAATGGTGTTTGAAATCTTAGATTTATAACTTTACTCCTACAATGAGAGAGAGAGAGAGAAGATTTATAACTTTACTCCTACGATGAGAGAGAGAGAGAGAGAGAGAGAGAGAGAGAGAGAGAGAGCTTTTCAATGACTATAATAAAAGCTACAAAGAGCCCATCGTCTTGCTTGGCTCTTGTGTATTAATTTATTATTTTCTGCCTCTAGTTCTTATTTTTGCTAGCATGCGTTGCATTCTTATGGAGTTACAGGAAAGGATGCTGTATAAACAATCATTTCCGTTAGTAATTTGCAATTCAAGTTCACGTGTCAATTTGACTTTCCGGATGAAAAGTAGTGTTTTCTTAGAGGTACTTTTTGTTGTCATTTTTTTCCTCCTGATTTATGTTAAATTTTCACAATCTTTTTTGGACTCTAATAATCTGCCTGAAGATTTAATATTCTCTCCAACTTTCAGCTCCAAGATGAGGCTGCTTTGACACTTAAGTGCTTAGAGAAATCAGGAGATGCTGCTTTTGAAGATATCTTTATGACGAAGGTTGATTTCTCTTCCAAATATGATTATTGCATAAGGTATGATTTTCTAATTTTCTATTGTTGATTGCTTATTCTTTTTACTTCTTTTGGTGTTGTATTAGATCTGGCATCTGCTTCATGAAAGAAGCTTAAATACCATCATCAGTTTTTAGTAATGGAGCCTGAATTGGATTCTGGATCTATTTTAAGTTTATTATGATTTATGATTATTTCTAAAATAACAAATTTTAGAAATTTGCTTGAAAATTCCACCTTACCACTCTTCAACGAGTTACGATGTTTTAGGTAAATTTGTGAGTGCTGGCAGTGAATATCAGGCCTTCAAGAATAAAAGAAATAATAATTAATTGAAGAAAAATATACAAAACCTAAGGACAAGATTTTAGCATTATGAATTTGAACATAATTTTATGATAGCAAGAGAAAGAGAAGTGCCCTCTTGTGCCTCGCAGAGGCTAGCAAACAAGTTAAAGTATTTCCCATCTTGGAAACTGAGGCATATGATTTTGTTGATCAATTTAAAATAGTTATATTTGCTGCTCTTATATTTATTTCCCTTAATGCTGTAGGCATTTTGGTTTTTCAGATTAAACTTAAAAGGACAGAGTGAGGTCTATGCTTTGGGATTTTGCTTGGATGATGAATGTTGGAGATTGTATGAGGAGAAGGTACATGACATTTTGTGTAAAGGACTGAGTGACAGGGTCAAGTTCATTCGTGCTGTTTGGAGAAACTTCCCTGCAGGATTGAGCATAGAAAATGTAAGCCTTAATAAATCATGTTGATGCATAATTTTTCGGTTCATGGTTTCAAGAAGTAGTTCATAAAGCTGTTGCATATTACTTCCCAAATAAAATGAAGGGAAAAAAATACTATTCCTTTTATACGTTATTTTTGTGCTACTTTGCTTATTTCATGCTAGACAATGATCATATATGTTTTAATATCAAGTATCCAAATTGTTTGTCTGCCAAGTGCTAAATGCTAGTTTAGGACTGCAGTCAAGCCATTTTATTTTTCCCCACCTTTTTTCCAAGGGGGGTACTTTTTACCTGATATTCAAGATGGCTTATTTCAATGACTTTTGATTGCTCTATTTTTTAGGGTTTATCAACTCTAGACACAGAACCATTGCTTATTGGAATTTCAGTGAGCTCTTTAGAGAAAGCATATAGAGTTGTTGATATTGGTCCAGAAGCTGAAAATAAAGAGGAGGTATTGTAGGCTCTTTATTTTGAATTTTATACTGTTGTGTGATATGTCTTTCTATCACGTGGTATTTTACTCCTTTTTTTTTCACTAGGCTCTCAAGTTTCGGAAGTTTTGGGGAGAAAAGGCAGAACTCCGGAGATTTAGAGATGGCAAAATTGCCGAAAGCACAGGTGAGGCTCTATTGCGTTTGCTTTGGTTTTTCTACAAATTAGTTATATCTAGTTGATTAATACAACTTTGTTTCCCTAATATCATAGTATGGGAAAGTAAGCAATGGACAAAGCATCTCATTCTGAAAAGAATAATTGAATATGTATTACTCCGTCATCTTTCTCTATCAACAATGAACATTGTCCAAGTTGTGGATCAACTTGATTTCTGTCTGCTTCATGGTGTTGAAGGTATAATGATTATGCACAACTGTTATTTTTTTTTCATGTATTTTTTTTCTTTTGTATCTTGAAGTGTACAATCTATTGCAAAATATTGCTATTTTCTCAGATCCTATGTCATTTTCCACAAGTTTGCTTGAGGCTGTTGAAGTTCTCTCAAAGCGCTTGCGTCTTATTGAAGACATTCCCTTGAGGGTGTCAAGTGTCCAGCCTTTAGACCCAGGTATAAGATTGGCCATCTAGTTTCTATGTATGAGGTACTAAGTAATTTTCATGTTACACTCTTTTTTAATTCTTATGTGTCCTCTCGAAATATTAGTTCAAGCATTATCTTCTTTTTTGTTTTTTCTTTTTCCTCAACGTGTTGATCTAAAATATTTTAGATTTTTTTTGCTTGGCTTGGGAGATTGCAGGGGGAGGGTAGGCTTTAGATTGTTCCTTAATACACAGATAGAAACTCATATGGTGTTTGGTTTTAAATATTGCTATTGAATATATATTTTATTTTTAAAGCAGAATTTTGTTTATCTTTCTGAGCTTTTTCCTTCATCCGTTAACTCTTAGCTGCTGAGAATTGCTGTCTGATTAAATGATGTTTCCAGCTTTCAGGTTCACTTCTGTGTTTCCTCCAAGACCACATCCACTAGCATGTGAAAACAGTCATGCTCCCAAATTACATAGGGCCTTTTCGTCCTGCATCCAGCCTTTGGAAGTTATGATTCAGGCATGATGACCCACCAACCTGTAATAATATATTTCATTGAAATAGTGTCTGAAGTAACTTGGGTTTCTTTGTTGCAGCTGGAAGGTTCTGGGAGCTGGCCAATGGATGAGGTAGCTATTGAGAAAACTAAATCTGCTTTCCTTCTCAAGATTGGAGAGAGGTGGGTCAGACAGTTTTTTATTTAGACACGTAAATTAATGTATTTTCCTTTCTACCTAACGATCTGATGGTAGTGCTATGGTGCAGCCTTCAGAATAGTTGGGGGATGACATGTATTGCTACTGAGGAGGACGTGGATGTTTTTCTTTCTGGTTATGCATTTCGCCTTAAAATTTTGCACGAGAGAGGCTTAACCTTGGTGAAAAGGGAAAGTAAGAATGTTTCACTTATGATCTGCTATTATCGTCTATATTAGTTATACTCCTCAGATGTTTAAGTAACTAAACTTAATCAAACATGTAGTTGGAAGTGATAAAGTGAAGAGGGTGCCTTCTCAAGACAAGAAACTTTTTGTTCGTGGTCAGCATTCTAGCATGATTAATGGGTTACAGGGTATTTACCAAATGTATGGTCCGGTTGTTAGGTGGGTACTGAATCTATATTTAGGTTCCTTTTTGTTGATTTACCTCTCTAAGGTAATCTTACCTCCTTGACTATTTGTGTAGGCTTGCAAAACGATGGGTTGCTTCACATCTGTTTTCAGCTTGCTTGGTAGAGGAGGCAGTTGAATTATTGGTTGCGCATCTCTTTGTGAAATCTTTGCCATTTACTGCTCCTTGTTCGCGTGTCACTGGATTTTTAAGGTTGAAATCCTCACTTTACCTCTTCAGCATGCGCATATTAATAATTTTTCTTTAGCTGAGAGAATAACATAGCATTTATGCTTACTGTGTTTGTTTCCTTTGTGTTAGCAAGGGAGATTGACACAGCAAGTGAGAAATGAATATAACTATTTGGATTGTCTTGGAGTACTTGAATGGTGCTCTTGTCAGCTTAGTCGGAAATGAATTAAATTGTCTTGCTGTTGGCTTGAATATCAATTTTCTCTTGGCTTCATATCATAGGTCTGAATTACAGTTGCGGCGGCAATCAAGTACCAAGTTGTGTTAGCCTTTAGCCTGTAGCCTGTTTCTGAACAGTATTGACCTCTCGCTGTGTGAATAATATGTTTGTAAAAAGTCTCAAAATTCATCTAATGAATAGATATCAAAGAGCTAAATAAAATTGAAAAAAACAACTCAGTAATGAGCAAATATACATCAAATAAAGGCATAGAAGCCCGGACTTGTATTTTTCATTATTAACTACTTGAGTGCCTTCACATTAAATTTGACATTATTTATGCATTATGAGCATTAATCAAGCCATATTGTCTTGACTTGATTTTTGCCTTTGTTACCAAGTGAAATCAAACTAAAGTTTCAGTTAGTAAGATCTCTATAAGATTTAGGTTGAAGATTTTGAAAAATTGTGGCTGGTTAAGCTGGGGGATGTGGGAGGGGAAATGCAACTTGGAGGAGGCAGTAAAAAAAAAAAAAAAAAAAATCCATCCTTTATACATGTAATGTCCTTAGCTGATGAAACAAAGTTTTGTTTAGTGCTTATTGATAGTAATTGCACTGAGCCCTTGAAAAACCATAAAAGATTGCTGCTATTTAAAACAATGCTTCATGGAAACTTTCTTTTGAAGTTTACATAGAGATCGTCATTAACAGGAACTATTTTGGTTTGTCTATGTTGTCTTTTCATTAAACTTTGTCTTGACAGGTTCTTGCGACTGCTAGCGGACTATGATTGGACCTTTTCTCCTTTAGTTGTTGACATAAATGTTGATTTGACTCCCAATGATAGGAAAGAGATTTACGTAAGTTATATTTTTGAGTAAATAATCATTTGATATCTGGTCTCTTTATGCTATAGTCTTTCACTTTTTACTCTATTTTTGTTGGTCATCAATTGAATGCCATTTTTCAGGATAACTTTACATTGAGTAGAAAAGAGTTTGAAGAGAACAGGCAGAACATAAGTCCCGCAATGTTCTTGGCCACATGTTACGACAAGGCATCTGAAGCTTGGACCAGATTTTCACCAAACTCGCTGGTTAGTGGTTCCTTTCAATTAACTTTTACTGGATGATCCTTCTCATTCATTTATGTTTGCAATTTTTTCGCAAGTATTTTGCTTTTATTTCTCATGTCTCTGAGCTGCACTTGCCTATTTTATTTCTCAATTTCCGTTCCATTTTTGTTATAATGGTGTTATTTGGATTCATTTTTTCTTTTATGTAATCAAAATTAGAATCTTTTTGGTGATTGCGTCTATAAGCGCAGATACAAACACCCCCCAAGACTGCACACATTATCTCGAATTTCTTGAACAAAATGTGCTTAGTATTCTTGCTGAGTTTTTAATGATTCATAGTAAGAATTGAACAAATAAAAAATGGTTTATCTTTGATAGCGTTCGATTTATATTCTCAAGTGACACGCAGCTTTTTTTGAATGAAAAAGGAGCTTAAAAGGTTGGTAGCCTATGCTCGCAGCAGTGCAAACCTGCTGTCTAGACTTGTATTGGAGGATCACACTGATTCTTACAGATGGGAGGTGAGTTAACATATAATTGTCAGTAGCTAACGTTCCTGTTTCCTGAATCACATATCTTTTATTTTTGCTAATTGTGATGTCATATTTTCTGGACTTGCAGTGCCTCTTCCGAACTCCTCTGAACAACTATGATGCTGTAATTCTTCTCCATGGGGACAGATTACCTTATCCTCAGCGTCTGCTTTTCCCATCTGAACTAAACCAAGGTATACTGTGTGATCCCTGTGTTAGCTTTGACAAAATTTTAGTATCAAGTCTAATGTTGCATGGTTTGTGCAGGGAGACTTGTGGCTCGTGGGAACGCTAGTAAACTTTTCCAGCCCATCTTGTCGCCTAGAGATTTGAAGGGCAGTTCAGAGGAACTCAAGAATAAGCTGATGGTGAACTTTGATCCTTTGAGGTGCTACATTGCTGATATACAGGCAAGTTTTGTAGAATATTCTGACCGCCACATTTTCTTTTTTCTTTTTGGCTAGTTTCAAATGTTTCTTTTGGAATATAAGTTCTGAAATATGCTAGTTTCAGCAACTCTTGTTCTTCACATATTTTGTTTTTTTGTCCTAGTTGCTTGTCTTGTTTACAAAATGTTATTAAAAATATATTAAATGTTATGGTTAATTGTTATATTACATAATCTGACCTTATCTTGTAACATGAATAGAAAGAGTTCAACACTATGAAGTTATGGTATGATTCTCTCGGAAGTGATGCTATTGGACTAACGTGGGAAACAAAGGTATAATTTGTATTAGTAACCAAAATAATCATTGGAAATATGCTTTACTTTGTATTGCCTGTAAGTCTTATCTAATTGAATCCTCCTGATCCTTAACTTTGTGAATTGTTCCAGAAACGAGGACGAGAAGAAACAAGTGAAACCGAAGACCCAATCGATATGTTAAAAGCTGTAGGTGAAGTTGGGAAAGGGTTTGTAAGGAGTGTATATTTTCTCAAGGCTCCAAGGCTTTCAAAATGAGTTCTCATGTCATGGAGGTCTAGAATTCTATGTTGTAACACTCAGGGTGATATGATGCCCCACAATTTTGAAGGAAATATAGCGATAAAGCAACATTTTTTTATTATTATTATTTAGTATTAGTTCTTCAACTTATCAGAGGATAAGCAATTAGCCTATTTTTTCTTCCTTTTTTTTTTTTTCCTCTTTTCTTATTTAGTTTAATAGTTGTGTTGTATAGAAGCTTGTCCAGAAGGATATGAAGTTTTTAAATTTGAAAATTTGATAATTGTATGTGGTTGATGACTTGGTGGACATGGCCATGTCCAAATGATTTTCATTTGTTTCTCACTTTCAAATAATTCAACAATACAAAATATCAAATAACATATATGCCATTTTTCAAAATTGTTTTATTGATTCTTTTCAAATGAATATATGCCACATTTATTGACTCAGAAATTGTTTATTTACTCTTTTACCCTCGACCTTAAATAATTTCGACTTTAATCTAGTTAATTATTTCAAATTGTAAGTCTTTACTTTTGTATCGACTTGATTTTAATGTTCGATGGATTCGTAGGCAAGGAATTATGCAAGTTCATTCTCTTCCGAGAGTCTAATGTTTAAGTCCTAGCCTCAAGGAATTGCTTGATTTAATTTTTATTTCGCTGTTTATCACTAAATTTATAAAAAATAAGAGGACAAATGATGGAATTACAAATATATATTGATATCCCCATTGCTGTAATATTAATGCAAATGCACTATTTAAGATAGAAAAATTATTTCGTCCCGAGATGTGATTATTCATGTTTAATTGATAATCTGGTTTCTTGCATAAATAATACAAACTATATTATTATACCAATGATTTTATGCTCTTATTAAGAGAGAAAAAAATAAAAATAAACTATATTATTATAGGAGGCCAGAAAATATAGTAAGAGAGAAAAAAAAAATTTTTAAGATATAGGAGGCAAAATTTAAAAAATTCACTATTTTCTAAAATAAATTTTAGAAAAATGGTAAAACTGGGATCGAGGGCCATGCTGGCTTCCCTTGATTCCAATCTTGTTAATTACTAATTTCGTGCTGCTTTGTTATCAATTTAACAGCAAATGTATACAACTCAATCTCTAATTTCAATAGAAAATCTCTACATAAAAAGAAAATAAAATAAAAATTTTATATTTGTAGATTTTTGGTTTGTAGAAAACCCTAACTTACGTGGCTTTTGTATTGTTAATGCAAAGGAGGAGCTCATATGAAGAAAAGAAAAAACGATAAGTGAATGGATAATGAACCTCCTTTTGAATGATTAGATCACTAAACGCACTAAACATAATAGACATATCCGTCCTAATTAATAATTCTTTCACTAAAATTTTTTGGTTTGTAGAAAACCCTAACTTACGTGGCTTTTGTATTGTTAATGCAAAGGAGGAGCTCATATGAAGAAAAGAAAAAACGATAAGTGAATGGATAATGAACCTCCTTTTGAATGATTAGATCACTAAACGCACTAAACATAATAGACATATCCGTCCTAATTAATAATTCTTTCACTAAAATTTAATTATCTCCGATATCTCATATTAAACTTCATTGAATGTTACATTATATAATCTTTACAAAATCTTATCATGAATAATATTAAATGTCATAATGTTATATAATTTCTATAAAATCTCAATATAAATAGCTAAAAAATAATAAGAATTGCATGATTCATAGTAAAAATGTGTCATTAGTCACAAGAGTAATATTACTATATAGCATGTGTATAGTATATTATTATTAGTCATCAATATTATTTAAATATTATAAAGTTATTTTTTGTTCTAAATGGTAGTTTAATTTAGTTAGGGTTAAAAGATAACATTTCATGCATTAAGATATTATGATGTTAAATACATTTTTAATGTTATGAAAGAGAAAAGGAGAAAAAAAAATGATATTATCAATTCTTATCATAATAGTTGTATCTTCAATTCTTGAGTTTTGCTATATTATAAGTTTCTAAAATCCAATTAAACTTATTGATAAAAAGATAGAAAATTAAAAATGCGGGTAAAATGTTATTTTATTTAGATATTTTTACTTTATTAAATGAAAATGTTTTATAGAAGAAATTATTTATAAATATTATAATTTTAATTATGAAAATGTTTTATAGAAGAAATTATTTATAAATATTATAATTTTAATTATGAAAATGTCATTTTTAAAAAGTAAAAAACAGTTGAAATATATGGTTTTTGTTATAAAGGAAAACTTGTTATTTTTTAAATCTTAGTTAAATTTTGAAAAACTAGAAAATTATGTTTTAGTTTTTCAAATAGAAAAATGGACTGATTTGAAGATAAAACTCTGTTTTTTAATTTTTTTAAAAAATTTTTAGAAAACTACGCCAGTTTTCTACAAGTGAATTACTATTAATGAGAGATATGGTTACAAGAATTCAAATTGTCCTTGGTATATTTTGATTGGTTCATATAATGGTGTTTTCCTTTTTATTTTTATTTTTTTTTTGGCATTTTGGGGCGAATAATGGTGTTTTTTTTGTTATTTTTCTCATATTTTGACTATTAATGACTAAAAACATTTTTGAAAGAATAAAGATTAAACATAAAATGATTGATCTTTATTTTTATTTTATTTTTTGAAGACAGAGTGATCACTAATTCAATAGCAAAGAGAAGAATTGGATGTATTCTCTAAAATAGGATGTATTTAATAAAATATAATTTGTAGTCTAATTTTGGGTAGCTTAGTTTTAAAATTAACCCGAAATATATATACATAAAACCCAATTTTAAAAGAAAATAAAAAAATAGATTTAATTGAAATTACGTTTGCTTGTATCTTGCTATTTTCCATTTTTTAGTTTGGCAAAAATCCCTAATTTACATGGATTTTGCAAAGAAGGACAAGAATGAAATATAACAATTCATTGAAAAAAAGATAAAATAACTAACAAGTGAGTAGTAAACCCTGTTTCATTTTTCACAGTGGTTATTGAAGGATTGAATTGTAAAATAATGACAACTACGAATAGATATACTAGTCTTAACTAATAATTTCTCCATTAAAATTTAATTATCTCCAATATCTCATATTAAAATATGTAATTACACATAATTCCTATAAAATTTTGTTGCCCATCGATAGAAAAGAATTAAAATAATAAAAATGCATAATTCATAGTAAAAATGTGTTATTAGTCATAAAAATGTGTAATTTATTGTTGTTTATCATCATTATTATTTAATTATATTATGAAAATAAGTGAATATTTTATTTTAGTTAGTGTTGAAAGGACATTATGCATTAAAATGTAGTGATGTTAAGTACAAATTTAACGTAATGGGGAAAAAAGAAAGGATAAAAATATGAAATTAACAATTTTTATAGTTAGTTTTTAGATTTCTTTCAACCATTACCCTTATTAATATAAATTTTTTTAAATCCAATAAAACCTAAAAAAATTTAGAAAATTAAAAATTTCTGCAAATTTTTTAATTATTTTTCTCTATCTTTACAAACTTTATATTGTTTGAAAATATATTATATATATATATAATAATTACATGAATTAAAAAAAATTATAAATAACTAATACACACATATGAATATGAAGCAATGAATAAAGAATTTACAGTTTTCTACTATCTACCAAAAATATAATAAATTAATAGTTAGCTTTTTTTTTTCTTCATCTCCATCATCATGATTGTCACACTCTAAAAATTGATGGTGTGAGGTCCTAGGGTCTAGGTAAGTTTAAGGTACTGGGTACCTCATAGAATCCACAACAAAATTAATCCAATTCAACATATTGCTTATCTTGATTAGTTATTTAGGTGAGCTACAGTCAACTTATGTACTTTCATTTAATTCCCAGGATCATCGAATACAATCTTTCATACATTTTGTATAATCATAAATCACACCATTATAATACTGTGTACATTATAGCTTACATACATCTCATACTAATATCATTCACAAAGGTACTACGGACTAACTAGAGTTCATATAACTTATCATCAATTTATAATATCTAATAATTATTTACATTATTCACAGGCTTCTTGTTGGAAGAAGGAAATCAAGAAGCTGACGGATTTGGATCACTTCCACCTGAAACCACAGACGCTTGAGTGAGTCGTCAACTCAGTGAGATTATAGTGTCATATTAGTAGCATGTACACTGAAAAGTATTTCAAAGTTCAATATTTATAGTAATACAAGATGGTAGTACAATTGTAGCTCATCAAAGAGATAAGTCCATAAAGAATGAATCATAGTACAGTACAAAAAAAAAAAAAAAGCCATTTTGCGACTGACAAAACGCAATAAATCAGTTGCTAATAAAACTTAGCGACCGATTACCATCTGTCGCAAAAGTGCTCGTCGCAAAATTTGGTCGTATTTTCCTTTTGAAACGCTGTCACAAATTGGTCGGAGAAACAGTCTGTCGCAATTATGAAATGTAGTCACAAATCGGTTGCAAATTTTAAAGTTTTTTGGTTGCAGTTCGGTCACAAATCTGTCTCAAAATACAAAAAATAATAATAAATAATATTATAAAACCATAATTTTTTTGCAATTGTTAAAATTGGCATATAAGTGAAATCATAAAATCTTGCAAAATTCCAATTAATTCTAATATATTATGACTTTAAATATTAAAAAATTTTGTCAAAGTCCTTTTAATTAGTGTTAAATAGGACTACTAAAAATATTATAACTAGTGTAATTTTAAAAATTGAAAGACAAGCGATCACTTAATTTTCTCTTTGATATCGCGTATAATTTAGATCTCTTATTCATTGTGACAATGTATTGTAATAATCCAAATCATATTGGTTTTAGTGGCCATAACCAAATGTTCTAATGAGTAATTTCTATAGGTTTTCTCTGTAAAATTTTCAGTATTGATGTCTATAAACAATTTTCAGATAATCGAAGCATTGTATGTCGTTTTATATTACTTTAACCGATCCACCTTCTCTTCAAAGAAAGATGATCAATCTTTAATGGCTGTTAAGAAACATATTGCAAAATAAGTTTTATCAATTCCAATCCTAACTTGTAATTTCTCTTCCAAAATTTAGTTTTCTCCAATATTTCATGATTAAATTCTTACAAAATTTTGTCAGATCAATATAAAAGAGCTAAAATAACAAGAATTTCATGATTCATACTAATTGTGCCCTTGTAAGAGAAGTAATATTACTACACATTTGCAATAGATTATTGTTTTTTTTTTTTTTAACTATTGGTATCTGGACCTTATTACTAGAGACCACTTAATTCGACTCGGAGTTTAATCACAGTTAAGGCACCACCCCTCCCTTTTAGTGCAATAGATTATTGTTAATAGACAACATTATTTAAATGTTCAAAAGTTGGTCAAAGTTTTACGTAGTGTTAAATATGACAATATATGCATTAAAAATGTGATACGGTATCAAATAAATTATGGACTATAGCCAATCATATATAGTCTAGTTGGTTTTTTCACGAATCACATAAGTAAAAGGCCTCGAGTATCAATTTTGTTAGTGAAGGGATGAATTACACCCGTTACGTAGCCTGCAATGTTATTTCGGTCACAAATTATCCGTTGTTGCATCTTATATATAGTTATTAATTCTAATAAGATTTGGAGATCGATCCATACTCCAATCACAATTTATCTTTTGAAGTTAAAAGATCGTAATGTGAATGAAAAGACATAATGAAATCCAATTCAATTCAATTAAAAAAAGAGAAATAATAAATAAATAAATAAAAGAAAACTAGAAGCTCTGAAGCAAAAAGCAATTTAGCATTCACATTGAGTAACTCCTGTAAATAAGAATTCTATATTTTACATGTCAGAAACTAACAGCAAGTTTTTGAATCCTTTGATCTTATAGATTATGCAAATAACAGTGCACAATTTATTATGCTCCTTAGGAAACATCAACCTTTCCAAAATGATAAAACAAAAAGAAAATAAAAAATCAAGAATGCGTACTGAATCCGACCAAACCTTAAGAGGTTGAAGAATCTGTTACTTTGAACTAGTAGCATTATCAACAGATGGAGGCACAAAAATTCGTGCTTTTTTCAGAATTTCAGCAACGACCCAATGCTTTCGTTTGCTCAGTGGCCTAGAAGGATCCAATCTAACCTGAAACCATGTAGAATTTTCCCACAAAATAAAAATTACATGACAGCCATTATCCATATGCAGCAAAAACTCTTACTGCTCTGAATGACACTAAATGTGCATGTTTTATGTTTAGCTAATTCTACCATAGATTATACAAATGAAAGAAGAAAGGAAAGGAAGGAGAGAAAAAGGGAGCTCAAAGAGCAAATGTGTTAATCGATAGGATAAGATTTCAAGAGAATTTCCACTAACAATCTAGTGACTAATATATACTAGGTGGTTTTATGTTTAGCTAATTCTACCATAGATTATACAAATGAAAGAAGAAAGGAAAGGAAGGAGAGAAAAAGGGAGCTCAAAGAGCAAATGTGTTAATCGATAGGATAAGATTTCAAGAGAATTTCCACTAACAATCTAGTGACTAATATATACTAGGTGGTTCATTGCAAAGAAAGAGCTTTGATTGAGGACGTGATGCAATGGTGGATCATCAGGCTGGATTTATTTAGTAATCAGTTATTTCTGTTTATAAATATCAAACAGAAGATGTATTAGTTGTGCAATTGAATAACAGCCAATTCTTGTATTTTTCCGCAGATCTCTCTCTATTTCTCTTACTCTTAATTCTGACTTTTCTTTCCCACGCTTCCTCTCTTTTTCTCATCTCCCAATCACTCATGGGTCCTAACAAGGATACTCTCAGAAACCAACAAGAATACTGCAAAATTACTTTGAAAAAACAATTACAACTCTTTGCTTCTCAAAAATATATCCAAATCAGACTAGTAACTCCGCATTTACAATTAACAATAGGGCAAGCATGTGACCAAATATAAAACCATTCAAAATTCTAAAATTTATGTTTCCATAAATTACCAAATTCAAGGTTAGAATTTCATTTCAATTTAATAGAGAGATGGTTACTCGATCCCGGATATTACATTGGTTATGCTCATCGTGAGCCATGAATATTGAGGTGCGCTTTGCGTGGTTATAAAGTTTGCCACTACCACCAACTTCTGCATCTTGTTCGACACCACTATTCCCATCTTGTTCGACACCACTATTCCCAACTTAATCTTCTTCGATCTTAGCTTTAATAAAAGCTTTAGAACCCTAATATCAGATGCTTTCTAATTTAAAGCCGTTTGCCACTTTTTCCCCCTTTTTTAGATTTTTTACCTTTTGAGTTTTATTTATTTCTGCTACATTTATATCATGTCATGGAGCGTAATGTCATGTGGTTACGCTGCGATCCGAATAGTTCATTAGTTGTGGTTTATTAGTAATGGGTCAGTTAAAGAACTGGATAGCAAAATAAATATTATCAATTGACATAACACTCCTAAAGAATATTTACTCCATCAAAATTTGGTTATCTCCGATATCTTATATTTCAAAATCTTATAATTTTTTTCTTTCGTTTTAATCATTTAGTGTCCAAAGTCTACTGGTCCGACTAATCTAGATTCGTGTTTGGTAGACTCATAAAGGGGCAAAACGCTCCCTTCCGAGTGTTTAAAGAGACTCCATACCAAAATTTAAATTCGAAGCCTTTGAAAGGAGAAGAGATTTTTGCTATCTCATCTCACTCCTCCGGATATTTCCAATATCTTATATTAAACTTCATCAGATGTATCATTACATGATTTTTACAAGATTTTATCAAATAAAAGAGCTAAAATAATAAGAATTGCATGATTCATAACAAAAGTGTGTTATTAGTCACAAAAGGAGAATTACTATCCATGTATAAGATATTAGGGTTAATCATCAATATTATTTAAATATTATAAAAAATTGAGATCAAACAGAAAATAATTGGATCGGGATCTATATCAACATTCTAAAGACTGATTCAAATCTTAATTTCATTCCAACCCTAAACTACTGGTCTTTTAAATTGAAATCGTAAATTCAATTATTCAATTATCTTTCATGCATTAAAACAAATAAGAAACGAAAGCTTTCATCCTTACCGATTAAAATAACCGTGAGCTGTATATTGAACAATTTTGATGGCTACAGAAAAGTTGATCTGATGCCTCCAAATCACATATTAAATGATCATTTTCAAGATTATTTCGAGAGCATGATTGGAGTTGACGTGAATTCATCAAACAAAGTCACTTGCTATGAATTTTCTAACCTAAAACTAGGCATGGCCATATTGCGGTTCCGGGAACCGGAACCGTCGGTTCGAACCGGCCCGGAACCGCAACCGGAACCGGTGAGAACCGGAACCGGGACGAACCGGTCGGTTTCGAACCGGCCCGGAAACCGCAACCGGGAACCGGTGCAGAACCGGAACCGGACGAAACCGGTCGGGAACCGGAAAATTCGTTCGGTTCCGGGTTCCAGCAAATGTGGAAAACCAGAAACGGCGGTTCCATAGAACCGGTCGGAACCGGAATGGAACGCCGGGTTCTCCGGCCGGTTTTAGGAACCGCCCGTTCGAACCGGTTCGAACCGGCGGTTCGTAGCCGTTTGTTGTAACTGTCAGATTTTTGTTTTTTTTTTTTTTTTTTTTTTTTTTTTTAAATGTTGTTAAAATGGTCTGTAATTACCCCTCCCAAACTGTCATAAACGGCTACATAACGGCTACTAGTTTGAGAGGGTTATTTTTGGAAAAATGAATTTTTGGATTATTATAAATACCTCATTGTTATACAAATTCACTTACAAAAAAATCTGTTCAACGTCGTCTCTACTTACTCTTTCTCTAACAATATACTACACTCTCTACTTACTCTCTCTACAATATACTACACTCATACTCTATAGTTATTCAATTTTATTTTCTCTACGTCAACATTTATCTCCTTATTAATGTAATTATTTCTCTCTAATTTTTTTTATTCAATTGTTCCAGAATTATATTCTGTAGTTATCATATTAAGTGGTAAGTGGAGGAAACTTCAAAGTTCGTGGGTAAGGGCAAGGGAAAATTGGAGAAATCAGTCTATCCCTACAAAACGACATCTATGATATGATTCCCGACCAATTAATTTTGAGGGTTTCCAAATGAAAATTTGGGATATGTCCAACTTCAAGAATCCGAATTTAATGCAGCAATTTTAATGAGCAATTTCAAGAAGATGAAGAGCAAGAGCAAGAGCAACGAGCAAAAATTGTTACAAGAGTAAGACAAAGTTCCGACATATTCTCCATTTATTTCACAAGAAAATTCAAAGGTGAGAAAATGTACGATATAATTTGCAATTATTGTGGAAAATCTTATAAATTTAAATAAGCGGACGGCTATGGATCATTTTGGAAGCATTTGGAGGCAAAACATCCAACAAAAATAGTAGTTGATCGGTCTCAACAACAAATTTCCGGGTACGCTTCTAACCTTTCTTTATTTAAATATTCTGAAAAAATATAAAAAGAAGAATTAGCAAAAATGATTATGCCATTCTTATATGGGTATACATGTCAGTTGGATTGCATGGATTGTTTGGAAAATTCAAAAAAAATTATTGGTTTTTCGTGTTTTTGCATGATAAAACATTACTGCAAAATAATATTTATAGAGTAATTGTTTCAATTGTTAGATGAATATAAGTTTGAAAAAAAAAAATGTTTGTTCAAGTTTCATTGTGATAATGCTTCGTGGCAAAAATAACTAGATCTATTGATTGAACTTAAAAAGAATTTTGTGAACCAAATATTGGTTTGGTAAATTTTTTCATTATATAAGATGTGCATTGCCATGTTTTAAATTTATGTGGTACAAGATGGGTTTAAAAAATGTTCTTGATTGTTTTTATTTTATTCTCCATTATTAAAAAAGCTATTGTCATATTTTATGGACACATCCCCAAGTAATAAAAGTTGGGCTAAATTTTGTAAAGGAAAATAAAATAAAAGACCAAAACATTTTCCAAGGATGCTCCCAACTCTGTGGGATTCAACATTATGAATTTACTAAACGGAGTCTTTTCTTTATAATAGAATTATTATGTTTTTTGTGTACTAATAATATTGAGAGATAGTAATTCTTATATCCCACAAAAGTTGGGAATTTGCTGGCAAAAAATTATTTGTACAAAAATTTTAGATATTTTAAAAATTTTTAATGATGCTACCTATAAATTTAGTGGGGTTTATTATCCCACATCTCATTTATTTTTACCTGTGTATTAATATTGTTAATGCACTCCAAGAATTTCAAAATGATGATTTATTAAAAGATTGTATTTTTTCAATGAAAAAAAAATGGTTATCTTATTTTAAAAATATAGCACCCCTTTATCTTGTTGCTATTATATTTGATCCTAGATGTAGAATGGATGTTTTATGTGATTATTTGACTATTTATTATGAAGTATTGAATCTTGATGTAGAAGATAATGTTAATATAAATGTAGTAGAAGATAATGTTAATATAAATGTAGTAATGCATGAAGTTAAACAAAATATTATGCAATTATATAATGAATTTGTTCAAGTTTCTAGTTCATCTACTCTCAATCTAATATTCCACAATTTTCAACATAAAGGGTAAGTGGTGTTGGTGTTGCTCAATAAGTTTCATTGCAAAGACAAAAAAGAACAAGGGAATCCAGTTCTATTTCTGAATTTGATAATTATCTAACAACTTCTTTTGAGTTTGGTGATGATTATGCTGATGCAGATTTTCCAATTTTAGATTGGTGGAGTCGTCACGCAAATACTTTTTCAATTCTTTCTTTACTTGCAAAACAAATTTTAGTAGCTCCGGTCTCCACTGTTGGTTGAACAAGCTTTTAGTCAATGAGGTAACATACTTGATGAAACACGATCTCGTATGACACCCAATTCATTAGAAGCACAATCATGCTTGGATGATTGGACTAAGGCCGAACTAAGAGCCCAAGAAAATCCAAAAGAAAATGAAGATTTATATGATTTATACGATGGATCCTCAACGAGAACATCAAGCGGTGGTGCAAATAGCGATTAAGGTAAATGGGGTGAAATTGGTATAAGGTAAGTAAGAACTACGTGGGCTTTGATTCCTCTAAACCCCCCCAAGAGGATACGTAGGCAACTTAAATTATTTTTTTTTTTTAAAAAAAAATTAGTTCAAAGCCCATTTTTTTTTTTTCCAAATTTATTGTTCCAAACTTAAAAAAAAAAAATTCAGTTTCAAAATTTTTTAAAAAAAATCATTATGTTCAAACTTAAAAAAAAAAAATCCAAATTCAAATTTTTTTAAAAAAATCATTTATGTTCAAACTAAAAAAAAAAAAAACAGTTCAAATTTTTTTTAAACCGGTCTTAAAATTGGAAATTTTTAGGTGTATTTTAAATTTTTATGTATCAAATATTTTTTTTTAGTTTGGCTCTTGATATTTTAAAATTTTTTAACAGTATTTTTTTAAATTTTTTATGTTAATATAATTTTTTTTTAAACCGGTTATTTAAAAATTTAAAATTTCAAAATTATGCGAATATCGCCGGAAAACCAATCGGAACCGTCGGTTTTGTTAATCGGATCGGAACCGGAACGGAACCGGAGAACGGACGGTTCCAAACCGAACCGGAACCGGCCAATTTCGGTTCGTTCCGGTTCCAGCTTTTTCTGACAACCCGCGAAACACGCGGTTCCGGGAACCGTGGCCATTGCCTACCTAAAAACAGTACCGCCGGTTCCGGAACCGTGGCCATGCCTACCTAAAACAGTAAAAAATAATTCAGCCTATAGTAAAACTTTATTAATAATGGGACTAATTTATTAATTATAGTAATTTAAAATACAACTAAAACAATAAAATTATATATAAAATCATATGTATTTTACTTGTTATCATATATATTACTGCATGAATTTAGAATGATTAAGATAAGTTATTTTCATATATATAGTTAAAAGATTAAGAATTTATACCACACTTCCTCTCTTAACAAATTAATTATAGCAATTAACTAAACATTATTAACAAAAAGGAAGGAGGAGGAGGAAGTGGTTGTTGATGAAACGAAATAAAGCATCACAGAAAATATAAACACCCCATGAGCAAGCAAGAAAAGAAACAGTAGTCAATTGAAATTATATTCATGATTTAATTAGCAGTGGAATCAAACCAAAATCTTAAAGAAACCGAAACTCCAGATTCTGGATTTTCAAAGCTGATCTGAACTCAGATATAAATTATTAACTGCTGCTATATACACACATGTCAAAATTGCTCTCTCGAGATTGAATTTGCGAAATCATTAGAACCAATCAGCAGTACTGAAGCTAATCTTTCTGTAAGTAGTGAAGGAGAGCAAATGTCTTGAGGCAACAACCAAGAAGCTCCATCACAATAACTCCATGGAGACTCAAGAATCGTCAAGAAAATATATAAACATATAGATATAAAGATTGCAAAAGAAAGGTAAACTTCCTCTTGGGAAAAACTTGACACAACTATTTCCATAGTTCTTGAAACAGAGAGAGAGAGAGAGATAGAGAGAGAGTGGACAAGAGAGAAAGTGGAATAAGTTATTTGTAGGAGAAGATGGGTAGAGAAGTTCAATGCATATATAAGCAAATTTATGAATCTTGTCTTGGGTGCGTGAATCTGGTTTCAAGATTCAGGTAATACATGCATGTTAGGCTTTTCGTTTCAATCATGTGGTTCGGTTTGATAGTTCATTGAATCTATACATGCAAGTGGGTCATGTGGTGGGCTCCTACTTGTCTCTTGCTAACGAAGTAATCTTTGGAATAATTATATGATGTGTTTCTATGTACCTTTTGGTGTGAATTTTCAGCCATTGGATTAAATATTTGTGTTTGATAATACATAAATTCACCCCACAAAATTTTATAAAAGTTTGTGCATACGCAGAGAATTTATTGTTACTTTTATATATTTATGAATTTTGATTATATTATCAGATAAAAATTTTAGAATTTTTAATTTTTAATTATTTTTATTAATTTAATATATAATTAATATAATTTTTGAAATGATAAGTTTTTATATTTTTCAATATTTTTGATCCAGTTTAATCTCTTCCATTTCAAAATATTTATCTGAAGGCGTTTAATTTCTAAAATTTTCTTTTGAAATGTATTTGATTGAATTTTTATAAAAATTGCAATATCTAATTCTTTTTCATATAATATATACCATGTTAGTGTCACGACCCGTTTCTGTGGGTCGG